TTGGGGGGATGGGAACAGTGCTTGGGAATTGGGGGAAGGGGAACAGACAAGTTGCTGTCATTTTGTTCTTCAGTCTAGCTGTGGAGGACGTTGCTTCACTGGCACAAGTTGGCACCATCATTGCGCTCTTCTTCGGTGAGGCAGATCAGTCGCCGGCTTCTGGATGGCTGCTCACTGCGGCTGCTGATTGGGAGTCTTAATGTAACCATCAGTAAGAAGGGATAGTCGTGCTGTTAGAGGGTTGCAGGGAATAAATGAGATAAAGCGCAAAATTTTCAGCACGGTGCCTGACTCCTAGTAGGCTCTTTGGAAGTGGCCAAGGAGAGACACAGTAGAACATCCTTGCCCTGTTACTCCCATGTATGGAACTTGGGAAAGGGGGTAGGAGTAGGAAATTTGAATACTCTGAAGCCATAGCATTGGTCCCAAGAAGAAACGGTGGATGAGTCAGCTTTGGTCCTCTGATTAGGTCACTGAACTTGGAGTCAGGATATTTAGTTGTGAGTTCAAGCTCTGTCTCTTAGTAGCCAGTGTTGTTGACAAGCTATGTAACAGCTGCTGAAGCTTCAATATCATCATCTGTAGGGAGGGATAATGGTAATAACCACCTTACAAGGTCACTGTGAAGCTGAAATGAGGTTGCAGAGCTGTGAAAGCGCCTGGTCCAATTCATAGGAAGTGCTCAATTATGAATTATTGAATTTAGATGTGTAGAACACTTGAGAAAGCTCTGAGCAGGCCTCAGATTAGGGCATTCCCTGGACATGTGCCCTATGGTTTAGTGGTTTATAGCTTTAGAGTCAGTCACGTGTTTGAATTCTTGCTATGCCATAACTAGCTGTGTGTCTTTAGGCAAGTTACTTCTCTGAACCAAAAGGTTGGGTTTTTTTTTTCCTTTAAATAACTTCTTTAAAATGATGCCCACCTATCTCAGAGAGTTGTTGTGAGGATGAAATATAGTATAGTCCCATGTCTGACTAATACCAACGTCTCAAGTATTCTTCTGTTTTTAGTTATGACTTAGGAGTAAACCAGTGATGATATGGGGTTTTTGAAGTCTTAATTAATACAACAACTGGTGTGTAAAGGGGCTGGGGGCCAGGATTTGAGGGTAAGGGTTAGGATTTTCATCTTTACAGACCAAATGGGAGTACTGAGACTCAAGTAATAGGAAGTACTTCCTGGCTTGGGGTGGAATGTGGGAGGCGTGCGCAGTGTGGGCTGAGGCGAGCCCCTGGGGATATCTTTGGGAATGAGACTGAACCAGATGGTGCAAAAGGTCAGGGCTGACTGGGCCCTTGGAGTTCTTCAGTCAAACCCTGCCGTTGCACCAGAAGGAAACTGAGGCCCGATGAGGATAATACCATGGCTCCCTGACCCATAGCTAGCTGGTCACTAGCCCTGGCCTCCTGGGTTGAGGAAATAGGTTTTTTCCACCATGTGGAAGGTTGTGACAATAAGTAGGGGGAAGCCTGCAGGAGCCGGAGGACTGGAGGAGTCCCCTGTGAGAGTTACAAGAGGGCTATTGGCGGTGACCAGATGGTTCGGTGTCTCGGGCCGGTTGGTCTGTGTTTAGGGACTGTCCTGGAAGACCTTGTCCCCACAGGGAGGAGAAGAGGATGGGGCAAGGAGACAGGATATGGAGGGCATGGAGCTGTTGGTGTTAGGGAAGTTTCTATAGAGAGAAAGGAGGGTGGTGGGGTGGAGAGCAGCTTAAATCCCTCTGACCCAACTTCAAGTCTACTGGATTTTGTTTTGTTGTTGTTGCTTTCCATTTTTTCATATTGCTTCTCAATTCTTTTCTAAGATGGGAACCTCTGTTGCTCATCTTTGTAAAGCGATTTTGCAGAAATAAATCACTCTGGCCACCTCTACCTTTCTCATTTCTTGCCCAGGGTCAGCGACAAGAGTTTACCTTTCTAACTAGAGGTAGTTCAGAGCCTGAGGAAAAGCCTAGCTCCTCTGGCTAGGCAAAGCTGGGCAGCTTCTGTATGTGGCTGGGCAAGTTCGTCCAATGCCCCACCTTGGTGGCCCCATCCATGCCTCAAAAAGGGCTCCTGGCTGCAGGCTCTAGGCAGGGCCAGGCTCACCTTGCTGGTGATAATAATCATGAAGCCACAGCAGCAGTGCTGGCCGTCCTTAGTGAGTGCCCATTGTGCTCCAGGCATCTTACTTCTATTACTTATTTACTTTTCACCAAAACCCGGTGAGGAAGATGCTCTTATTATCTTGGTATCACAGATGAGGTTCTGAGAGGTTAGGACCTTATGAAACATGCTCAGGGTCACCCACCTGGGAACGCAAAGCCAAGAGTCAAATCCTAGATTGTTTGACTTCGAAGACTCTCTCGAAATGAAGGAGGGATCCGATAAGAAATTGGGGTGGTGGAAGATGGAAGCAGTTCCTCCTGATGGAGGAGAATCGGGTGGCCTTTCGGATCTCCATAACCCCCACTCGGTCTAGAGGGGACCTTTGAGACTGGAGCTATTTCTAAACTAAGCTGTTGAGATTGGTCTTCTCTATTGGAGGGAGGCTGGGGCATTGGATAAATGAGCCACTGACGTGGGCAGATGAGCTCTGACGAGGTAGGGGCCAGACCACTGCTCGAACACTGGAGTCCTGGGTTTCAATCCCAGCTATGTCCCTAGCATGTGTGACCTCAGATAAAACATTTTTTCCTTGGACCTCAATTTTCTCTCCCTTCTGTGAAGCTAGCTGAGAGGCTGTGGTTTTAGTCTGGGATGTTTAGATGGGGCGCAAAGAAAGAGAGGCAGACTTAAAGATGGGTTTGTGGGGAGGAGAGCATTCTCAGGAACATAAACACACTCAGGAGCTGTCAAACAGGCCTCCCCTTAAAAGGGCAAATATGCAGCACTCCCCTGGGTGATCAGGCCCCTCTCTGGAAGGAGGGCACTTCCTGTTTGGAGGGTCTGTGTCTACTTCGTCCCTCCTGAGGACACTACCCCTCACTCTTCATACTCAGGGGAGACATGAAAAATATTTAATGGCAGGTATGGTGTGGCACCAACCAATCAGAGAAGTCACAGCAGTAAACAGCTGGTGTAAGACTAACAGGATGTGCTGGCTGTATGTCCGCCCTGCCCCTACCCCTGATTTCTCCTGGGAAAGCCTGGCTCAGGAGCTAAAGGGCAGAGAAGGACAAGGAAGGAGCCTGCAGGAGCAAGAAGAAGTTGAGCAGGTGAGTGCAGAAGAGAGCTCACAGGTCCTCCCAGACATCAGTGCTCCCTCCCCTGAACCCCATCATGCCATCAATCCACCCTCTCCATGGCCTCCTTTCTCATACTTTGTGCCCTGTTCAAAGCAGTCTTGCCCACCAACTGTAGCTGCATTTTGGATGCTGATGGAACAATGTACTGTCCTCTGGTCTGTACTCTGCGTCATTATCCCAAACTTGGCATCAGGCAGGGGACTTCCAGGGCAGGCCACCCCATCTGCCTGCAGAATTGGTGCTTTGTGAGCCTCATTGGCTAACAAGTCCCATGGAAAACCCAAAGCCTCCCTTCCTCTCTTGTTTTTCTCAGCCACCAGCCTATTCCAGGTCTTTGTCCCCATGTACCAGGATTTCTGTGTTAGCCGGTCTGCTGTTTCCTCTATCTACAGCCTCGAGACTGTCCCCTTGTTCTCTACAAGGGTTCCTGTTGGATTACCAACCACTAGGAGTCAGGGATGTCCATCAATATGTCTTGACTGGTCGATAAGGACTCCTCTCCTCCTTTTTCATGAGCACAGGTTGTTTTCCAGTTGACCAAGAAATATTTATTGAACACTCACAAAGCACAAGGCACTTCATTAGCTATAGAAATGGGGGTGGGGGTTGGGGGCTGTCAGGGAAGTAGGAGGCATGACCCCTGCCTTCAAGGAGCCCTCACTATAGCTGTGGAGAGCCAATATGTAAATACATAAAAGATAACCAGTAACACAAGGCAACTTTGGGTAGTGCATTATTTGAGGCTCTTCTGGGTCTATTAAAAAGTCTGTCACAAAGCTGATAAAGAAAGATAAAATGGAGCTGGTCAAAAAGTCTAGAATGACAATTAAAATGCATCATGACTTATATGGGAGGGCAGATCAGGTGACTGAGTTATTCACTACATGATGAGAGCTCAGGAAACAAAGCAATGCTCTCCAGAAGTTACTCTGAGTTCATGAGGAACAAGTTATGCCACATTTATCTTATCTCTCTTTGATAAGGTTCTAGAGTTTGGTTCAAAGGAATGCCTTAGATTTGTCATATCTCAAGTTCCGAAAGGCTTTAGATGTCTCCTATGGTGTCTTTATAGAAAAGAGGGCTGGATAACTGCATGAGTTGATGGATTTAGAGCTCTTTGAAGGACTGTCCCCTGAAAATGTTGATGACTAGTTCTTCGACATTCCTAAGTGAAGTAGCTATGCTATCTAGGTCTATCCATATCCTATATCAATAGTTTTAGCAGTAATGAGTAAAGACCATGGAGACATTCTGATCATTCTGTCAATGACCTAAATCTAGAAGCAACAGCTAAGATTCAATACTTGAAAATGCCTCAAGCCTTCCTTCCCCATTGGCTGTAAGCCAGGTATCGCCAGACTCCAGAATTAATCAAGTGAGTGAGTGAGCTCTGCTGGAAATGGGTCTGCCAGATGATAGGGAATAGGGTTCCCATCTGACAGTGATAGACAGGTAAGATGAGTGCCAGCTCTGACATCCCGGACATCACGTCCTGTGACTACAGCCCTCTACTCTTCTCTAGGGGCATAGAAGGGGAATCTTACAATGTTTGTGGCAGGGAACACTGAGAGGGTATGGCGAGGAAGAAATGCTTCCAGGTAGAAAGAGCTAGAGAAAACAGAGAGAAACTGTGGGAGAAGAGAAGGGGCTTGGCTATTGGGTTGAGGGCTCCTGGCAGTTGGGCAACGAAGATGTGGTGGCAGAGTGAACACTGTCCCCACCTACCTGGCTGCCATGTTGACCACCCTGTGCTCTCTGTTCATCCACCCAGATCACGATGAGGACCTAAGGCACCTGCCTGTTGACTGTCCCCCTGGCCTGCAGTGACCATGGCCCCCCGCAAGAGGAGCCGCCATGGCCTGGGCTTCCTGTGCTGCTTTGGGGGCAGCGACCTCCCTGAGATCAACCTCCGCGATACCCACCCTCTGCAGTACATGGAGTTTTCCAGTCCTATCCCAAACCCAGAGGAGCTTAACGTGCGCTTCGCAGAGCTGGTGGTGAGTGAGGGGACAGGGAAGGAAGGGTGTTGACAAAGGGGAGGGGAATGGCTGGAGCAGGCCGAGCAAGACAGAGGGCAGGTGCCCGTGTACTGGGATCTCCACCTCTTGAAGACTTGCTTGGGGCTGAGGTGGCCCCCCCAGGACACCTCAGCTGTGTGGGAGAAATAGTCACTCACTGGGTTGGACACCGGGAAATGTGTCTCCAGAAGAATGGACCTACCTCATATCTCCATTGGATTCTTGATTTCATGGGGGAGCAGTTAGGTGACTGTTAAAGGAGCAAGTCCAGGCTCTTGTGAAATATGACAGCAAGGAGCCTCAAAAAACATTCGAACAGTTGCCACCTTTCTCTCTTCTGCTCTCTGGAATTTCCCTGAGATCCGTTGATCTCAGACACAGGAAGAAGAGACAGGGTGGAATTCGGTAGACAAAAGCTGATTGGCTAGAATTACGAGGTCTGGCAATTGAGTTCGCGAACTTGTTGCAACGATGCTGCTAACCTTTTTTGATATCAGAGGGATTATTCATTATGAATTTGTACCAACTGGACAAACAGTTAACCAAGTTTACTATTTGGAAGTGCTGAAAAGGCTGCATGAAAAAGTTAGACGACCTGAACTTTTCGCCAACAATTCATGGCTCTTGCATCATGACAATGTACCAGCTCACACAGCACTGTCTGTGAGGGAGTTTTTAGCTAGTAAATAAATAACTGTATTAGAACACCCTCCCTATTCACCTGATCTGGCTCCCAATGACTTCTTTCTTTACCTGAAGATAAAGGAAATATTGAAAGGAAGACATTTTGATGACATTCAGGACATCAATGGTAATATGATGACAGCTCTGATGGCCATTCCAGAAAAAGAGTTTCAAAATTGCTTTGAAGGGTGGCCTAGGCACTAGCATCATTGCATAGCTTCCCAAGGGTAGTACTTCGAAGGTGACCATAGTGATATTCAGCAATGAGGTATGTAGCACTTTTTTCTAGGATGAGTTCACGAACTTAATTGTCTCATTTCGTATGGAGGTGGAGATGCCTGTATCACAGCTGGAGCCTGGCTCAGGTCTGGGGTGACTGTTTCCCATGTCTATAGAAGCTCTGCCATTCACACTGGGATCAGCTCTCCCTGACTCTTGGTGGTACCCATTCAGACCAGAGCGACACAATGCCTTTATGGGAAGCCCTGTGTGTAAAACTTCATGCCCTGACCACAAAGAGACAGAGCAGGAAAGAAGCATGATTCTGCTTTTTGGAGGTCTGATGGTGAGACAAAGCCTGCACACCAAAGAAAGGCCCAGAACAGGATTGCAGGACCTGTGCCCAGGACTCAGACCTGAACCGTGGCATAGAGCAGTAGGCACAAGTACAAGTTCATCTACCATGGGCTCTTGGCCACTCATTCTCGTGGTTTGCCAGCTGAGAAATAATGCAGTGTGATTTGGAATGGGGTTTCATACTGGAATTTAGTAATGGATGTATCCGATTAAGGCCATCCAGCCCTTCAAATAACAAGACTACTATAGTATGAGACCATCCAGGTGATGTGAAAAAGTTATCCACCTTCCTCATTACATCAGGTTTAGGAAAACTCAACGTTGTTCTGATTTATGCCTTTCCTCAGGGTGGGAGAGTGGGTGGGAGAGAACAAAGTGTTTACTAGTGTAGGAAACCATTTGGAGTCTGATGGGTGTTAGTACTACTAAGATCTGTTTTGTTACTCAGAATACTGCTGATGCCAAATGTGTGGGTTTCCGCACCAAGCAATTCTCCAGTTCTCTGCAGACACCAACTGGGTGTCCTTCAGTTTAACTCAATTCTGACACTAACTACCCAGAGTTAGCAGAGACTCCCATGGGTTAAGGGCTCAGGCCCACAAAACTGTCCCCTACTTTAGACACCCACCGCAAGAAGTGGGACCCCAGGTTACCCACACTTCTTTCTGACTTGGCTACAAATCGGAAGTTCCCACAACTCCTTCCTCAGGTCTGATAATTGGCTAGAAAGGTTCATAAAATTCAGGAAACACTTTACTTAGTATTGCTAGTTTATTATAAATGATATTATAAAGAATACAAATGAACATCCAGATGAAGGGGTACATAGGATAAGGCCAAGAAGGGTAATAAGGATGGTAAGGCTCCTCTCCAGAGCACAGCAGCTTGTGTCCCCGTAAGTTTGGGGGTTACCACCCTGCCAGCATGTGAATGTGTTTACCAACCCAGAGCTCTCCGAGCTTTGTCACTGAGGGGCTTTCATGGAGGTTTCATCATATACGCACAATTGAGTTTTAGCTCAATCTCCGACCCCTTTTCTCTATCTCTGGAATTCGAGAAGTAAGGCCTGAAAGTTCTAGGCTTCTAATCTAGGCTTGATCTTTCTGGTGACCAGCCCCCATCTTGAAGGTATCTAGAGGCGCCCCCAGGAGTCACTTTACTAGGAGAAAAGAGGCTCCTATCACCCAGGAAACTCCAAGGGATTTAGGAGCTCTGTGCTGGGAAACAGGAGCAAAGATCAAAAGTAGTTCTTACATCATCACAGGCAAGTCCATTTTCTTGAACAGAGTGTATGAGTTTTGAAAGAAGGACATGATGAGAGGTATTCCTTCCTTTGGCCCTTTTATTCAGCAAGTATTTACTGAGCATCTTCAGTGAGCAGGCCTCCTAACAAGGTACTTGGGCAAAAAAGCAAGGATGAATCAGAGAAGTCTTGTCTGCAAGGAGACTAGTGTCAGGTATTGATCAAATACATGAAAATATTTCTTGAGGGACTGTTGTGTGCTGGGCCCTATGGGGACCAGAGAGTGAATGATGAACCACCAGGCATAGTCCCTGCCTCTAAAGGTGAAGTCTAATAGGGAAAACTGAACTTGACCAGTAATGACCAGTGTGGCGACCTGTAGGAGTGTCCAGCAGGGAGCTTTAGTCTAGAATAGAGACACAAAAGCCCTCTGAGCAGTAATATTTCCACTGAGATCTGAAAACTGAGTGATGATTAGGTAAGTGAATGAGGCTACAGTACAAGGACACAGGGTCCCCCACAGAAGCAGCCTATGTTAGAATCTCAAATCAGAGAAGAGCTGGGTCTTTTTGGAAGACACCATAAAAATGAGAATACCATAGTTTGCTGTGTATCTATAACGTGCTCCCATGTATAATGTGTACCCACGTTTTTGGCCCAAACTTTCAGGGGAAAAAAAAAATCTTTCATTTTAATTTTTTAGTACTACCCATATATAATGCACATCCTTATTTTTCCCTTACAAATTTGGGCAAAAAAGTGCACATTATGCATGGCAAAATACGGCAACTGAGGACTTTGGATTCAATACTAAGGGTGACAGAAAGCCACCCAAGGCTTTAAGCAGGGGTTTGAGGTGATCCGATCTGCTTTTCTGAAAGCTCATTCAGGGCACTCTTTTGAAGAAGCATTCGGGGTAGACCAGTAGGATGCTTTTGGTGCAGTCCAGGCTAGGGAGAATGGCGCACAGTGATGATGGAGAGAGATGGACAGCTTCAAGAGCTATTTCGTTGAAAATATTGGGTCGTCGGGAAACTCATGACGTATTTTTCTGTTTTTCAATGCAAAAATGCATCATGACTTATCCGATGACCCAGTATAATAGGACTTGTTGGAATTGGTGAGTGAATAGGAATCAAGGGACACCCAGGTTTCTGATGTGAGGAACTGAGTGGACGTTGGGCCTTGTATAGGACAAGATAGGCTAGAGGAGACTCAAGTTTACAGGCCTGGGATGATAAACTCAGTTTCCTCATTTGTAAGATGGGTTGTTGCAAGTTTAATGAGTAAATATTAAGCCCTTAGGATAGCTGCTGGCACATGGTGACACTACATAAATGTGTGAGGTACCTGAGGAACATCAAAGCTGATAGGTACAGGAGTCCGTTGGGTCCCAGAGTCTGGAACTCAGGAAACTGGTGAGCTGGAGGCACAAGTTTGAGAGAGTTCGGGATAATAACTGAGTCCTTGAGATGTCTGAGAAGGCTTCACCTAGGGAAGCATCAGGGGAGGAGAGAAAAGGACCCAGGATGGCACCCTGAGGGCCTCGAACATTTTATGGTAGGGGAGAAGAGGAGAAACCATCAAGGGACCCCAAAAGGAACCTGGAGCGAAGTGGGAGGGACTGCTCGGGAGTGTGACTGTCGAAGACACCTGGGCAGAGAGATTCAATAAGGAGTGAATCATCCGGAGAGCCACAGGCTACCTGGGCTGAGCCAAATCACCAAGAAATGTCCACTGATTTGGTGACACAGACCACTGGCTAGAAAAGACAAGTGCACAAATGACTGCAATCAAATGCTGAATGTAACTGCTCTGGAATTTGGGAAGGACGAGATGTTCTGACCTGGGAAGGTTTGTGGAAGGTGCACTGGAGGAGTCTAACTTTGAGCTCGGTACTTAGAACAGCGTTCCCAGGGTCGATGCGTAGGGAGGGCAGTCTGAGGAGATCGAGCTGTATAAGCAAAGCAGAAGAGATGCAGAGTTTGTGCTGGGACATGTAAGGTGAACATAGCTTTACTTTTTCTTTTATTTCTGATTCTGACCGTGGAAAAAGATACACTGTAGGAACCTCAAGCAGGGCTCTGGGAATTTTAACTAAGGACGTTCGTTCCTGGGATATGCAGAGTGGGTCTAGGGAAGAACCTTTGTTTAGCATTAGATATGCAGGAATCTTTAGTTCCATAAGCAAGTGACTTATGGGCATTGTTTCAAATCATCTTTGTATATGCTGTCCTAGATAGCAGCCACTGGCCACATGGGGCCGATGACCACTTGAAAGGTGACTGGTCTGAACTGAGATGAGCTGGAAGGGTAAAATACACACCAGGCTTTATATAAATTATCTCGCTGATAATGTGTTATATTGATTACGTGTTGAAATGATCATATTTTTGATATTTTGGGTTCAATAAAATAGGTTATTAAAATTAACTTCACCTATTTCTTAATTTTGTAATGTGACTGGAAAATTTTTAAAGTACATGGGCTCACAAATTTCTTTTGGACAGTTGTAATCTATGTGAAGGAAAGTCTTAAATGTTCTCCAGTGAATAGAAGTATAGGGAAATGAGTCTAGATTTTGATATTTAAGACTTTTTTACTTTCTTAGATATTACTTTCACTATTATTTCTGAAAATAAAATGGTTAGTAGTATTATGTTTTGATGTCTTAATGTGAATTTTGCTTTTGATTGGGAAAAAATTCACCATAGTTGAGTTGAAAGGCACCTTATGTTCCCCATGGCCCATTAACTTTTTTTTTTTTTGATGAGCCCAAGCGTTGCTCATGAATCATAGAAGAACCTTTAAGAAAAGAGATTTTTAGAGGCCATCCAGCATAGCCAAACCTATAAATCACCCCAAGCTACCCATAGACTTTACCCTAAGTTTGATCATGTCAGAGACGTCCCAGTTCTACTCCTCAGGAAATGGGAGCTAGTCTCATGGGACCCCAAATCTTGTGCATGCACAGCCTTGTTTGTGGGTCCTGTGGGTGGAGGGGGCTGACCCTGGCAGGCACAGCCCTTGCAGATGAACCCCTCCCTTGGCATGGCGTGCCCTTCCTGCCAGGAGAGCTGCTCAGCCTCTAGTCCTCACCAGCTTTCCCCAGCCTGTGCTGGGATCCACACTGAGATTTGGGGAACCAGAGAATTTCTGAGGGAGAGACCAAGAAGGTCAGGGAGACTTTAAGGATAAGGACTGGGTCTGTAGGATGACTTCTTTCTTTGTCTGGCCTTGACTTAGGGTATTACAAATTTAAAAGGGACAAGGGAAGGAAGACAAGAAGCCCCTGGGAAAAAGGATTAAGGGCTAGCAAAGCATCGTAGGAGACGGTCAGGGCCTGGAGGAAGAGGGTGGATTTGCAGAGACAAGGTGGGGTGAACAGGAAGTAGGGCAAGCATGAACACAAGCTGCACGGGCTTGGGTGGAAGCAAGGAGATGTGGCTGTATTACTAGCAGAGAAAGAACTGCCCTATCATATCTTTGGTCCTCTTTGGGAGGAAAATGGTAGACTGGGGGATAGGTTTGGGGAAATTGTAATTTCCTGTAGGACTGAACCTTTAATGTCAATCATCTCTGGGTTTCAGAGTTTTTTTCTTGTTTTTGCAGGATGAATTGGATCTCACTGACAAAAACCGGGAGGCTGTGTTTGCACTGCCCCCTGAGAAGAAATGGCAGATCTACTGCAGCAAGAAAAAGGTACCACCTCTGACCTATTCTGCTGCCATCTCAGGGTCCACAGCACAGGGCACCTCTTGCCTCTATGCCCGCTCATTCATTCAACAGATATTTATTATATACCAGCACTGTCCTAGGTGTTGGAGGAACAACAGTGAATAAATCAGGACCCCCCAAAAACAAACAAACAAACAAACAAACAAACAAACAAACAAAACCCTGGTCTTATGGGGCTTATACTCAGAGAAATGGGATTCTGTTTTTCAAAAACCCTTGAAGCAGGTGCCTTCTGGGTTCCAGCAGTGGTGCTGGGTTAGGGAGGTACAAAGATGACAGATCTAGACGCCCTCCTCATGCCTATACCCGTGCCCGGAGGGCGCGCTGACCTGGGCCATACCTGGGGCAGCTTTGTTGTAAGGACTCAGTTAGGGGGAATGGCGTGTCCTTCTCTGGATCTTTAGCACCCGCCCTGTCCCAGGCTTGGCCTCACAGGCCAGCATGCACCTCAGGATCTCACATCAGTCCCCTTTGTCCCCACCCTTTCCTCCTTCTCCTCTCCTTCATTAAAAGACCTCCTGACGGGTCCTCCCTAGAGAGGGGTGTGTGGCTACCGCCAGGGCGTAATTGAATTTTACCTTCCCCTCTGCTTTCCCAGCAGCTGTGCTTTCTTTTCTTTACCTTCATCTCTCTGTCTCTTTTGCTCATCTCTTTCTCTGTGTGTCTCTCTTGCCCTCTATGTTCACCTGGCTGTTTCTTTCACTCTGTTTTTCTTTTCTTGACCCACCTTCCTTCTCTCCCCTCCACTCTCCCATTTTTCAGACTTGCAACTCGATCCTTTGATTTCAGAGTATAGGGGTTTGGGAGTTAGGACCTGGCTGTCCCTGCACTGAGGCTCAGACCGCCTCCCTCCTGGGAGAAGATGGGCAGGTGTGGGGCGGTTCTCAGCTGTTTCTTCTTCCTGCTCCCCAAGCCCAGTCATGGCGGTCTTCTTACTTTTCTTGCTCAGGAATTTTGTCCCATCTAGGGCTCCATACTGAGCCAGACTGACTTTATAAAATCGGAGGATCAGATTCGGACACCATTTTTGAGTTGGAAGGAACTAAGAAACAACCTAGCCTAGGCCATTATTTCTACCTGTGAGGCAAGGAAAGCCTAGAGAGGCACTGGACTCACCCAAAGTTACCAGCCAGTTATGGCAAGTGGCTGCACTGTTGATGGAACCCAGGCCTGCTCGAATCTGAGAACCTGTGACCAGATGCATAGGCTGCACAGACTACAAGCCATTGTCAAGTATACTCAATGTAAATTCATTAAGCACCCTCAGAATACTATGCTCTGTGTCCAGGAATCTCACTGTGAGAAAGCAGGCTAAAAAAAAAACAACAAAAAAACTCCAGTCATGGGAGGAAGGGAAGAAGGATTGTGAAAATTAATTTCAGGAGTAATTAATCATGTCTCATGATTCTCTGCTTTCCACAATTGAGTTACTATGGCATTCCCTTAAGTTGATTTCTTTTATAACTAAAACAAAAAATTTATTAAAACACAAGGACATCTCTCTCTACCTTCCAAATCAAATTGTGTGTAATTTCCCTGCATACTTTCATAACCCCTGCTCTCTCCACAATGTACTTCCTCTGACTGTAACATCCTCCGCATCTGTCTTCGATTTAGTAATCTTTCATAACTCAGCCCAGTCCTCTCAGCCCACTACCGCCTCACCACCCTCATGAGCCTTCTATGTTAGATGACCCCCTCAGGGGTTCCATGTCCCACCATAGACGGTTCTACCATAGAGTGTGTGTCACCCTGACTCTGACACTATGGAAGCAGAGATTATGACTTTTTGCTCAGTACTTTCAGAACTCAGTACAGTGATTTTTCACGTAGTAGATGCTCACTAAATGCATATAGAATGGATAAAGGATGAGCCAGCCAAGACAGGAAAGTACGTGTTTGATGATGCATTTGTTTTTGGTTCTGTGATCCCTTCTCCAAGGTAGAAGATAGAATTTTGGGGCCTCAGTCATGGAGATTTAACACATATGATCCCATGAAATCACAAAGGCCAAATCAAGGTAGCTTTTTCACGGGTCTACAATTTGGATTTTACGAAACCAAATCATGAAGCCTGAGTGGATGGAGATGAGGGATCCGGGGCAAAGTCCAGGCCAGGTGGCAGACAGGTGGTTTGCCAGGGAGGTTTGGGAGGAGGTAAGTTTTTGTGATGATTTGGAAGCAGGAGATTGGCAGAGAGCAGATGAAGGGGAGTGGCCCAATGGAACAAGGACAGGAAGGAGCAGGGTATGTGTAAACCCAGAAGCAGTTCCTTTGGATGGAGGAGAAGGCTGGATTTTCAATCAGCGTTAATGTTTATCCAACTGCCATCATTGTTGCCCACACTTGGGGAGGAGCCGGGGCTTTTTCTTGGGACCTGGCAGCTGGGCCTGAAGCCCTCTGATCTGGGCTCTGCCTCCCACGTGGTCAGACCACCCCTAAATCTTACTAATACCCAGGGCCTTGGGAGTTTCTCTTTCCCTCTTTTTGTAAAGTTACTATTTCTTGAACACCTACTATGTGCTAGGCACTGCATCAAATGCTTTATATCCATGCTTCTCAAACTATCTGGGAAAAACACCAAGTTTTAAATTTCTAAGCCATCACAGACCAGTACTTTTGTAAGATACAAAAATGTTATCAGAAGAATGAAATTTGAAAAAACAGATGTATAAAACATCAGCACAAATTTTTATGAGATTCAACAGACATAAAATTATATTTTATTAAATAGAGTCAGGACAAATATAACAGGGAAAAAGGGGTTTAATTTTAATTGTACGAGATGTGATCAGAAAATATGGTGAATGTTTAAATAAAAAAATGTATTACAGTAAAAGACACATTGCCATTAATCCCCCTCAAAATACTCCCCATCGCTTTGAAGACACTTATCCCATTGTTCTTGCCACTTTCTGAAGCAGTTCTGGAAGTCCTCTTTGGTGAGTGTCTTTAGTTGTGCTGTCGTGGTTGCCTCGATGTCCTAAATCAATTCAAAACATTTACCTTTCATAGTCATTTTGACTTTGGGGAAGAGCCAGAAGTCACACGCTACCAGATCCGGTGAATAAGATGGATGAGAATACACCGTAATGCATTTATTTGACAGATATTACCATTCCAGAAGCATGTGTGACACGGAGCCTTTCCATTGTGATCACAAAATGCGGTGAATGCTGCCGCCGAGTGCCATCCAACAGAAAGGCAGGGATCTTCAATATAGAATGCGGTGCGTTGAACCTTAGTAACAGTGTGTGACAAGTTTCAGCTTGTTTGGTGCAGTCAGTCTGGTGTGAACAACGGTTGAGAGAGGTGTGTTTTAAAGTGTGTTGTCAATCCTCCTCCATGATGACAATACTCCGTGTCACACATCGTTTCTGGTATGGCAATTTCTGTCAAATAAAAACATTATGGTGTGTCCTTATTCATTTTATTCACTGAATCTGGCACCGCACAATATCTGGCTCTTCCCCAAAGCCAAAATGATTCAGGACATCGAGACAGCCACAGCAGCGCAACTAGACACTCACGAAAGAGGACTTCCAGAACTGCTTCAGAAAGTGGCAAGAACGATGGGATAAGTGTGTTTCAAGCAAGGGGGAGTATTTTGAGGGGTATTAGTGGCAATGCGTCTTTTACTGTAATAATTTTTTTTATTTAAACATTTGCCATATTGTTTGATCCTACCCGGTACATATCGTTCATTGAAAGTGTATATATCTGCCTGGTTTCTGCCCACGTCATTGGCTGGTCATGAGATTCAGTGTTCATTATCCATATTTTACCAAGGAAGAGATGGAAGCCTGGGGAGATTTCGTAATTTCCTTGAAGTCACCTGTCTGGCAGGGCTGGGAAATGAATCTGTCCATGGAATGAAGCTGAGGACCTGAGGCCATGGGCCTGTCTTGCCGGTTGGTTCATATAGTTCTTCTTGTTCTAGGAGCAGGAGGACCCCAACAAGCTGGCGACCAGCTGGCCTGACTATTATATTGACCGAATCAACTCTATGGCTGCGGTGAGTGGCCACTACTCTCCGGCCCTGGCCCCACCTGGAAGGGCTATGGGAGAGAGTGGGCCTCTGTCATCTTTCCCTGCACCTCACACCCCACTCACTGGGGATCAATTCCTGAGCTGTTATAATCCCTTCCCTGTGTGACATTAGAGTCCCCCAACCATTTAAACATTTATTAACCATTTGTACATCACACAGGCTTGGGAAATAGAGTGGGCCAATCATTCTACCCATTTTACAGATAAGGAGAGTAAAGTCTGGGGCCAGAACCTGAGTCTTCTAAGAGTCTGACACTGTCTTAGTAAACCATTCCCTGAGGCCTCACCCTTCCAGAGGCAAGGGTGGTCCCCACATGTGAACTGGGGGTGCAGGAGACAGGCAGCCCAGTGTGACCTCTGCCACACTCTACCTACCTCAGATGCAGAGTCTGTACGCATTTGATGAGGAGGAGACTGAGATGAGGAACCAAGTTGTGGAAGACCTGAAGACAGCTCTCCGGACACAGCCCATGAGGTGACTCACTCTGTTTCTCCTTCCCTCACTCCCTTCTACATCTTTCACCCATTGGTTCCTCTTCACTTCCTGAAGCTTCATGCAGTGCTTGGTTCCCATCCTGGTCCCCTTGGCCAACTCCGCTCCTCAGCGTTCCTTAACGTTTACTTCATTCCACTTCCCAGCTCCCACACCCCCTTTCTCTGAGGAGCTGGGAGGCTGCCAGGGGATGGACATATGGAATCAACCTCATGTCCTGAAGCGCTATCTAAAGAGAAATTGAGGGCAGGTACCCGTTTTTCTTCGGAGAATAGAACAGGAGGGAAAGGGGCCATACGGACAAGGTGTACAAGAAAAAGCTCTGAGGATGAGGGGGCCTTGTGAGTGTGGGTGAGAAATAGTCCAACCACTAGGGGGAGATCTGGTGTCCATAGATGAGATTGCATCATTGAGAGTGGGAGCAATGCAGGCAAAGAAAAGGGGGGGATGTCCAAAAGGCTGGAAAAGAACCCCCGCCACCTCCCAGGCCACATTGTACAAAGGTCCAAAGAGGGGACAATTGCCACAGGTTCTTTTTGTGTCTGGGAACTGGCTCGTACCAGCTTGTGAGAGCCAAGTGTTAAATGTTTACCAGTTTTGCAAGCTTGTTCTTAAACACAGCTGTGATTAAAAGATAACTTAATATAAGTTTATGATGAAATAAATTATTTCAAAAATAAAGAAAATAGATACTTGAAACTTACCACTCCCTAATTACCTAATGATTTCACTCCGTTTTACTGTATGTGTGCTCTTCACTATTACATGTGCTCTTGAGTTTACACCTGCTGTATATGCATGGTGGAAAGACTATAAATGGTGCATCTCTTCCCAACTTCCTGTTCAATTACATCACACTGGTGACTTCAGATCAGCTATGCTGGGAGTATTTATACCATGGAAGTTGGCAAACACTACAATCAGGCCTTTTTTTGCTCTTTTTCCAGAGAGCTAGTTGTTTAACATTTACCAGCACACTGGTCTGCATTCGTGTGTATGTGTGTGTGTGTGTGTCTGTGTGTGTGTGTGTTGTCTGGACTTTGCTCTCTGTCCCAGGAGCCTGGGAACAGAGCCTGAAGGAGAATGGACAACCCTGAACCCTACTTGTCCTTCAGGTCAGGGTGGGGTCTGGCTGGGAAGGGGGATGCGGGAAGGATGAGGAAGTCAGGAAGTAGAGGGGTTGAGGAGAGGTTTCCAGGTTTGTCTCCCACTTCGATTTATTTTTATTTCCCTTGATAAAATTCTGATTACAAAGTTACTCCTAGCCTTGGTAGAAATTTTGTGGAATACAGAGAGGCATATGATAGAAAAATGTAAATACTACCTATTTTTATTAATTTGAGAGTATATTCTATTTTTCTAGGCATATTTGCATAAGAATATAGAAATACCCACAAATACACTTGGGATCAAGTGTGTTGATTATATGTAGTGGTTCCCTCAGCTTCATTTATAACATTCTTCAGATCATTAATGATTGTTCATCTAAATCAAGTGTTCTAAGCCTTTGTGTGTGTGCGCACCATGGCTGACTTTGGCACCCAGATGAAACTTACTGATTGTTCTGAGAATGATGTTTTCAAATAATAAATTAAAATAGATAAAAATGTAAAGGATTAAGAAATAAACCAATTACATTGAAATACAGTTACCAAATGGTAAAAATTTGTGAGATAGCAATAAATGTGCTCCTTTGTTCCTTAAATAGCAAGAACTAGCAACCACCATAATTTTGAAGTGCTGACCAGCATAAATGATATTTTGAGATACCTGCAACAACTATAATTTGATATGAAAATAGCTGTGATTTTTTGGGGGTGACAGTCACAGATTCTGCTAACACCACTGTCATTTATTGTCTATGGTCATCATTGAAAGAAATGCTAAATTTCAGTTAGAGGTTACCAAAAATAAAAGTACAGAC